TATACACAATATCCTTCACATAGGGCATGAACCCCTACTCTGCCTCCTATGACCCATATTTTACTGTCCCAAAATGCCCTCACTACTCCAACAAATAACTCAAACATGCCCCACGTGCTCAGTCACATCCCCACAGGAAGCATTGCACCCCAAATAATTTCCCACCCATCAAGCCCGTGGCTGTCTATCAGGAGAAACCTGGCACACAGAGTTTCAGCTACTCCCAAATTGGATATTAATCCAGGTGCACCCCGCTATACTTCCTCTTTCGCAGGACTGACCAAGCTCAAACCCACCCGCATCCCAGAGGAATAAATGTATGACTCTCACTCCTGATTCCTCGACCAGGTGGACCAGGACCTCCAGTGGGTCTTTCCAAAGGCTAACACTCCTGACACTGTTTTATTCTGGGTCAAAGACCTAGTTCTCCAGGGCACTCTATCTCTGATTTCTCACCAGACGAAATCTCTCTGCTGACAGTCTTTCTCCTCTGCTGGCTAGCCCTACCTCTACATACTCCCTTAAACATACCTCCATGTTAACTTGCCACCCAGCCTTCCTTGCCCCCTTCGGCACACTATCTATCATCCTGGCAGTAGGCCTCTTCGCTGTCTGACCTTCTGCGTGGCCCTGCCATTCTTGAATAATTTTTTCCTTACTCTTTCTCCTCATAGTGGGACTTACATCATCCCAGTATGGTCTCCGTACTCTTTATGATCAGATCGTGCCTTAGCCAAAATGGCAAAACATGCTCAACCCCTCATACAGCCACAGATTGCTCCAGTGTCCTGACCTTTGTGTACTCTGCCTGCTATCTGGGACAAACACCTGTTACCAAGCAGTTTTGCAGAATCAGAGTATGCAAACTCTCTAACTGCATGGCTTCCCAATCTACAGCTTGCAAAAGGGTGGTGCAACAAGCCTGTCTGCTGGACATATCAAACCCAAATAGGGATGTCAGATGGGGATTGGGCAGGTGGCAGATGCAGCGAGGAAAAAGATCAGTGTAGAAGCTGGGGCTAGATCCTGACAGCATCCTGACAGTATTTGCCAACCCCATCCCATGCTAATCACTGCAATAGAAATCATATTCAATAAAACCTCATGCTGAGTTTGTTTGCCCTATAGGGACCTGGGGTACTCAGCCACAGCCATTCCCACCAACCCAGTCCCTAAATCATATCCTAATACAACCACCACACACTACACAGGACCTCTCCTCATGGAGACTGGCCTCAGTAATTCCACCAACTTCACGTGCATTCATAACTACAACAACATCACTAATCTTCCCTTCCAAACTCCTGGTGCACTGACATAACAAAAGTAAGCAACATGTGAGCGGAAAGGAATATTTTTCTTATGTGGAAAAGACATTTTCAAATGCCCACCCACACAACACCTATGTGGGGTTAGATATTTAATCCTTGTGGCCCAAATCTTAACCCCATCTGATTAGGAACATCCATACATCTATTACAAAAAAATTATCGAAGGCCCTGAACGGGGACATGGAGAGGGTAGCAGACACCTTCCTTGCTTTATAAAATCAAGTTAAACAAACCATGGTAGAACCCTAATGTTCTCCTGGTGGCCTTGGCTCCTCCCCTTCCTAGGGCCATTCACTATAATCCTCCTGATACTGTTATTTGGCCCCTGCCTGTTTCACTGTCTTCAAAGTTTTCTTCAGGAACACATGAGGGCCTTCACAAACCAGACGGTGGGAGAACTCCTCATGACCAGATACCAACCACTGCCAAGCTACAGAACCAGCCAGCCAGACGAACACGCCAGATATATAGTTCCCTCCTCTTCACCCCCTACCAGCAGGAAGCAATGACCTCCGCCCCTGTACCCATAACAACAAAAGGCTGGAATGATAGAATCCCTCATCCACATGCATAATAAAATGGCTGCTTGCTGCGCTTTCGCTCTCCCTACCGGAACTTCTCTCCCTACCGGAATGTCATCCCTAGTCAACCTATCACCAACCTCCAGTAATCTCAACCTCTCCCTCTTCAACCAGTATCAAAATCCTTCCCCCAGAGATACCTCTTTTTCTTTTCTTCCAACCTCTAATAAAGCCTTACATGTAGGTGTTTGTGTTCCGGCTCATTCTATCTCACACTTTCTTTTAAATGCCTCTGGATGGATTCTAACCTCCAACCTTCATGTCAGCGGCTGAGCACCTTCACAGTTTGAACACCCAGGACTCTTTATAGGAAATTCTGTGTTGAAAGAATGGTGTGGATTTCCTATCCTGGTGATTTCCTGGCTAACACACATATAGGTGTGTGACAACAAGAGAGGGTTTCAGAAAGCTTTTGGAAAAATTCCATTATCTTTTAATTCCCTTTTCTCATGAACTTCTACTGTATTCTGCTTTTATGAAGCTGTTCTGGGAAGCCAGGAGTCCTTGCCAAAAGATACCTTTCAAATTTCCTTGAGTTCAAAGGACATTCCTATGTCCAATCATAAGTAGTTTTACTTGTATTCTTTGTAAATATTGTACCGCCCTGATAATACTGCCATGTGGACTATGAGGTTACATTGGTTACTGGGATTTATTTTTTCTTCATACATATGGCAATGTAATAAAACCAGCAACTCTTGGTTCCTCATGTGAAGTGTTTAGAAGCTTGATTATATAAATAAGTATAAATATATATAAAATGTTCATGTATCGATTGCTGTTGTTATGTTGTGCCATCAAGTTGGTTCCAACCCATCATGACTCTGTATAGGGTTTCCAAGGCTGTGAATCTATCAGAAAAGCCTCATCCTTCTCCAGAGCAGCTGGTGGACGCAAACTGCTGACCTTGCATTTAGCAGTACAAGGTGTATAAGTATATTATTGTGAATTGGATGAAGGTTAACAGAGCCAATCAGTTTTCCACTCAACAATTCATACACATTTTGTTGCATCTCATTGATTGCAAACCCTGCAATGTAACATCACTTATCCCACTTCCTCCCTCTGTTTCCAAAACTCCTTTTCTAGTCCGTCTGAATTTTGCCCTCAGGCAAATAATGCCTTTTAATTTCACATGGTTAATTATTCTACGGTGTTATCTCCCTAGTGTTATTATGGAGTCCTAGTGTGGTGCTACAGGGTAATGCAAGGTCAGCAGTTCAAATACACTAGTCACTCCTCAGGTCACTATGGGTCAGAACTGATTCGATAGCACTTAACAACAACAAAGTGTTATTACTCACCTTATCCTTTATTATATTTAAAATACTAACAATCTATGTGTTAATTTTTCATTAATTTATGTTTGTTCATCTTATTCATTTTCAGAAACTCTTTATACTAGGTGAATTTTAGTTTGCTATGATAATGAACTGAACTGAAAGGTCAGTTAGAACTGAAACATTGGTGGTTCAAACCCACCAGCCGCTCCTCAGAAACCCTATACAGAGTCGCTGTGCGTCGGAACTGACTCGACGGCACACAACAACAACAACATTGGCTATATGGGAGTCCTGGTGTGGCACTGTAGGATAAGCACTGGACCACAAGGTTGGTTTGAGACACAAGGTTCAAACTCACACAAAGTTCAAACTCACCAATCACTCTTCGGAGACCCTATACAGGGTCTCTATGAGTCGGAACCAAATTGACAGCACTTAACAACATTGGTTATATGAAAAGAGGTCTGGTGGAACAATGGGTCAAGCATTGGGCTGCTAACAGAAAGGTCATGACTTCAAACCCACCAGCCACGCCTCAAAGAAAGATGAAGCATTCTATCCTCCTAAAGATTTACAGCCTCAGAAACCCTATGGTACAGTTCTACTCCGTCCTACAGGGTCACTGTGATTTGGAGGATTTGACCAACAGCAATGGGAATGGGAATTGATTATATATGCTGCATCTAAGGCAAAATATTGTCAGGAGGGACCAGTCGCTGGAGAAGGATATCATGTTTGGTAAGGTAGAGGGTCAGGGAAAAAGAGGAAGACCCCCAGCGAGATGGATTGGCAAAGTGGCAGCATCAATAGGCTCAAGCATGGCAACAATTGTGAAGTTGGCCCAGGACCAGGCAGTGTTTCGTTCTGTTGTACATAGGTTCACTATGTGCTGGTACTGACTCAATGGCACCTAACAACAGCAATAATAATGGCCACCTAGGCGGGTCCCAAAGAACTCTGTCTTCTACTCATAACCTGGCCCTCTCTTGTGTTCATTATCAGGATTCCAAAGTTGTATGAGAAGAAATCAGGAAAACAGGAAGTCTGATCAGACTCCTCATCAGCCAGCTTGAGTGTGAGCGCTAGTTCAGGGACAATAACCAATCAATGTCAAGTTCAGACTGAGTCATGATGACCCCATGTGTGTCAGAACTGTGCCCATAGGGTTTACAGTGGCTAATTTTCCACAAGTAGATCTCTGGGTCTTTATTTCAGAATGTCCCTAGGTGGATTTGGAACTCTGACATTTCAGTTAGCAGCTGAACACATTCACCATTTGCACCACCCATTGATTAGTTTAATGTGCTTAACTTCTTTGTAATTTTAGCTCATTAAAATTGTAAAGTGCCATGGGCTTCCAAAAGAACCAATAGATCCATTTTGGAAGAAGAGCAGCCAGAGTGCTCCCTGGAGGCCAAGATGACCAAACTTGGTCTCTCATACTTTTGACATATTGTCAGGAGGGACCAGTCACTGGAGAAGGATACCATGTTTGGTAGGGTAGAGAGAGGGTCAGGGAAAAAGTGGAAGACCCCCAGCGAGATGATTGGCAAAGTGGCAGCATCAATGGGCTCAAGCATGGCTTACAATAGTGAGGCTGGCTCAGGATCGGGCAGTGTTTCGTTCTGCTGTGCATAAGATCGCTATGAGTCGGCACTGACTCCATGGCACCTAACAACAACAACAAAGGCAAAACAATGTCTGTGCAGAGATATGAGGAGCAGAGGAAGGACTGGAAAGATGAAGGGGACAGGTAAACAGAATGAATCTTTATTTCTCATTTCCTGATCTGCACCAGTTAGCCCTCAGGTGATTCTGGCAATTCGCTTCAGCATAGTTGGATGGGCCTCTGGCGGGGGCACAGGGATGGTCTTGTTGGCCATCTGTTCCAGGATGTTCAGGATGCGGCTGTGGGCTTCCTGGAACAGCTCAGCACCCAGGAAAGCTTCCACTCGAGTACGCCATGCCGCCAGCCGTGGCCGCCCCTCAAACAAGTCATAGCCAACAGCCACGGGCTGTGGGGACATATAGTGGAGAATGGGGGGCGTGCTGGGGTCCTGAGACCCCCATGTCAGGAATACCTGCACAGGTGTCAGGACACACTCACCTCCCTGGCCCCCACCTGAACCCAGGGCAGTAGGACTGGCTGCAGTCTTTTAGGTGATCCCCAGCCCTGGAAGCAGGCGTTAAGGTTCCAGCTCCTGTTCAGCCAGTAATGAGCTGAGATTCTGGGCCTTAGTGTTTCTGTTTGTTCAATGGTGGTGTGGTGCCCACAGCCACTGCCCACCTGCATCAGCTCCTCCAGTGCCATGAGGTCTGCCAGGGTCACCTGGTTGCTGACGAGAAAGGGCCTGTCCCCCAGGAACTTGTCCTCCAGCTGTTGCAAGGCCTGATCCATGGAGGTCCGATTGTGCCCCACCTTTTCCTCAGGGACCTGGGCCCCAATGAGTGGTGCCAGCACCTGAGGGTGGCAGAGGGTGGCTCAGCCTGTGGCCTTTGTTCCTCCTGGCTCCAATGACCACTGCCCATTGAAAGGCACTCCTTACCCGGGCCCACAGCAACACGCCAAAGGTGCCCCGGATGCAGTCAGCATGCCAGCCCAGGTACTCGTGAACTCGGGCACGAGTCTGTATGTCGGTGGGATACCAGTGGGCCTCCGTCTGGTACTTGAGGCTCAGGTAGATCAAGATGGCCACGCTGGGACAGGAACCGAGACTGTGAGGGCCTCTCCCCCAAGGCTGTGTCTCTACCCTTGGTAAGCTCTTCTCCAGCCTCCCCGCCCAGCACCCTGGGCCCCCACCCCCACCCCAGTTCTCTCCCTCTCAAAGCCCACCCTTTTCTCTTTTGTCTTGGGCACTGGCTTTCGGCCAGGACCTCTCCTTTGCATTTTTCAGAATCTCAACTCTGTGGTACTCTAACAAATCCACCTGGAGTGGAGATGCTTGGTCTCCCTTTTGCACTGACACAGGGTAGGTAAGGGGCTTAGAAGGGTACAGGGCTTGGAAGGGACTCAAGTGCATAGTGAGTGTGTGGAGCAGGAGTCGGGGGAGGGGGGCATATCTTCAACCCACCAAGGGCCCTTTCCACTAGGGGCCCCACCATCACTCCTCAGTCCCCTGACCACTGTGGTGTCAATAGCCAGCCTCTTTTGTTTAACCTACAGTTGACCCAATATGGGACACAGGAGGCTTCAAATTTTCATGGAAAAATTCCATTATCTTTTAATTTTATTTTGCCACCAACTTTTTGAAGTCCCCCATCTTCTTTCCTGAGGCCCTGTCATTCTGGTTCTAGGGAGGTCCTGGCTGTAGAACAAGAGACTAGAGAAAGGAGAGGGGCAGGGATAAACTACCCTGGATTCACGTCAAGCTGTCCCCTTGCTGTCCCTGCACTCTGGGTGGGCCCTCAGGCATTGGGGGAGCTGGGAGCCAGGGGGCCTGAGGCTTAGGAGAGGGGTACCTTTCAGCCAAGACAAAGTCCCCATCCTTGAGTACAGGTATCTTCTGGAAGCGGTTGACCTGCAAGAACTCCTTGCTCACAAGCTGCCCTGGGAGGAAAGGGTCGTGTATGGTCACAAGGTGTGAGCAGCACTTCTTCTGCCCTCCCTCCCCTCCCCAGCCAGAGCCCCTGAGGTGGAAACTCTAGAACTGATCTGAGTTCAGCCACTATAGTGTGAACCTCCTTGGAAACACTCAGAAGGGGTTGGGGGGGGGGGCGGAGGGAGGGTAGAGATTATTTTGACAGGACCAGTACTAGGGTTTGTGCTCAGCTGATACCCAAATGGTAGGAGTTTGAATCCACATAGTGTTGCCATGGAAGAAGGATCTGGTGAACTGCTTCTGTAAAAAAAAGTCTCATGGGGCAATCTACTCAGTCACACATGGGGTCAGCATGAGTCTGAATCCACTGGAAAGCATAAAACAACAGCAACATGGGTGGGAGGGCAAGTGGAGGGATGTCAGATCTCCCCAATGCCTCTGGAGATCTCTGGATTTATACAGGCTTTCAATGCAAGAACTCTTCAGAAGGAAGTGCTAAGGGTCACACACAGCTGGGGTCATCTTCAGTGATGCTGGGGAGGAGAAGATGTGACTGGGGACACTCAGAGGCGGCTCTGTGTGTGTGTGTGGGCCTGGAGTTGAGAGGCACGCTGGGAGGAGGAGGCTTTGGAGAACTGTGGGGTTGAGGGTACACAGGAAGGGAGGTATGTGGGGGGCCCTAGGGTTGAAGAATACTCAGGGAGGAGGGGACTGTGGGAGGCTCTGGAGTTGAGGGGTGCGCCAGGGGAAGGGGGCTGTGGGGTGTGTGGCATTGAAGGCACTCAGGGAGAAGGAGGCTGTGGGGGGCCCTGGAGGTGAGAGGCATTATGGGGGGACGTGCGGTTGAGGGGGACAAATGGAAGTCGGAATGAGGGGCATGTTTATGAATTGAGGGGTTTTATAAAATGAGGAGCCTGTGGGGTTGAAGAGCGCCCTGGGAGGAGTGTCTCATTAGAGTCCTTAGGGCACTATGGGGGAAGCCCTGAGGCTGAGGTTTACTCGGAGAGAAGCGGGCTGTGAGGGGACCCTGAGACTGAGGGGCCCTGAGTTTAAGGGTGTTGTGGGAAGCCTTGTTGTTAAGTAATCGGTTCCAACTCATAGCGACCCTGTACAGGGTTTCCGAGGGTGTAAATCTTTACGGGAGTAGAAAGCCTCATCTTTCTCCCGCAGAGCAGCTGGTAGTTTCGAACCGCTGACCTTAAGGTTCCCAGCCCGATTCGTAACCACTACTACGCTGCCTTGGTGTTGAGAGCTGCTCTGGGAGCAGAGGCTGTGTGTGGGCTCTATGGATTGAGTGCATTCTAGGAGGAGGGGGCTGTGGAGTTGAGGGGCAGTCTGAGAGCACCGGGCCTGCAGGTATACGGATGGGTGTGGGGAGAACAGGTGGACCCACCTTTAAGCAAATCCACAGTGCGTAGCTCGAACGGGATGCGGTTCTTCTTAGCGAAGATGTAGACGGCACGGCTGGGCTGAGACAGCAAGTCCAGAAAGAGTTCCAGACCCATGGCGGGATGCAGCTGGGACAGCGGGATCAGCTGGGACAGCAGTCCTGGACTCTAGCTGCAACGGACGCTGTGTGGTCTCAGAAAATAAAGTCCCGCCCCGGTCCTGCCCCATCCGGGCCGGGCAGCGTCACGGATCCTCCCCGGCTCCACCCCTGGTCCCTTGCCCGGCTGGTCCCTTGCCCGGCTGGATTCCCGCCCAGGCGGAGCGCACAAGGCTGAACTCCATAGCCCCCGGAAGTCCTGTGGAGGAGCATCCAAGAGAGGACCTCGGGGTCGCATTATCTCTAAAAACCTAGTCTCAAATCAAATCCACGTTAACCCCAAATCAAGCCAAACCCATTACCTTTGATTCCATTCCAACTCATGCTGTTGTTTTTAAGTGCTGTCGAGTTGGCTCCAATTCATAATGATCCTGTATAGGGTTTCTGAGGAGTGGCTGGTGGGTTTGAGCTGCAGACCTTCCATTTCAAACCGACCTTGCGGTCCAGTGCTTATGGAACAACGCCACACCAAGACTCTATCCCAACTCATCATGACCCCATAAGACACAATAGAACTGTCCCCATAGGATGTCCGAGTTCTGGTGTGAATAAGCATTGGAATGCTAACCTCAAGGTTCTCAATTCAAACCCAGCAGCTGCTCCTCAGAAACCCTATGTTGTTGTTAGGTACCACTGAGTTTACTCCCACTCATAGAGACCCTATGAACACAGGAAACATTTCCTCACAATAGTTACTAAGCTTAAGCCCATTGCTGCTGCCACTGTGCCAGTCCATCTCATGGAGAGGTTAGGGGTGGATGGGAGGGGTGTTCCTCATTTTCTCTGACCCTCTACTTTACCAAGCATGATGTCCTCCAGGGAATGATCCCACCTCATAACATGTCCTAAGTATGACAGACGCATCCTCAACTTCCTGGCTTCTAAGGAGCATTCAGGCTGTACTTGAAACACAGATTTGTTTTTCTCTCAGACCATGGTAATTTTAATATTCTCTAACACTATAACTCAAATGCACCAACTTTTCTATGGTCTTCCTTATTCAATGTCAACTTTCACATACATATGAGGAATTGAAAATACCATGGTTTGGGTCAGGCACACCTTAGTCCTCAAACTGTGTTCTTGAGCACTTTAAAGAGGTCTTATGCAGCAGATTTGTTTAATACAATGTGTCATTTGATTTGTTGACAGTTGCTTCCATGATTGTTGATTATGGATCAAAACAAAATAAAGTTTTTGACAACTTTAATCTTTTCTCCATATATCATGATGTTATTTCTTGGTTCAGTTGTGAGGATTTTTGTTTACTTTATGTTGAGGTGAAATCCATACCAAATACTGATATTTATCAGTAATTATTTTAAGTCCACTTAACTTCCAACAAGCAAGGTTGTATCATCTTCATGTCTCAGCTTGTTATGTTCTTCTTCATTTAATCCAGTTTCTTGGATTATTTGCTCAGCATTAAATAAGTATGGTGCAAGTATACAACTCTAGTGCACACCTTTCCTGATTTTCAACCATTCAGTATCCCCTTGCCCTGGTCAAATGACTGCCTTTTGGTCTATGAGCACAATCGAGTGTTCTAAAATTCTCATTCTTCTCAATGTTATCCTTAACTTGTCATGATCCACACAGTTGAAAATCTTTTCATAGTCAATAAAGCACAATTAAACATCATTCTGATATTCTCTGCTTTCAGCCATGATCCAGCTGAGTCTCAGCAATGATATCCCTTGTTCCACATTCTTTTCTGAATCACGCTTGAATTTCTGGCAGTTCCCTGTTGATGTACTGCTGCAACCATTTTTTAATTATCTTTAGCAAAATTTTCTAGCATGTGATATTGTTTGATGATTTCCACATCTGTTGAGTCACCTGTCTTTGGAATGGGCAAAATATCCAATTGGTTGGCTAGGTAGCTATCGTTCAAATTTCTTATCATAGATGAGTGAACACTTCCAGTGCTTCATCAGTTTGCTGAAAATTTTCCATTTCTATTACAACAATTCTTGGAGCCTTGTATTTTTCATTAATGGTTTCAGTGCAACTAAGATTTTTTTTTCCTTCTCTACCATATGTTTTTGATCATATGCTACCTCTTGAAATGATTGACCAGCATCCATTTCTTTTTGGTACAATGACTTTGTATATTCCTTCCATCTTTTTTCTGATGCTTTCAGCGTCATTAAATACTTTGCCCATTGTTGTTAGGTGCCATCGAGTCGGTACCAACTCATAGTGACCCTATGCACAGCAGAACGAAACACTGCTTGATCCTGGGCCAGCCTCACTACTGTTGCCACACTTGAGTCCATCGATGCTGCCACTTGGCAGACAAGTGGTGGATTTTGCCTATAGAATCCTTCAATATTTCAAGTCGAGACTTGAATTTTTTCTTCAATTCTTTCAGCTTGAGAAATACTAAGCATGCTTTTCCTTTTTGGTTTTCTAACTCCAGGTCTTTGCCCATTTCATTGTAATACTTGACTTTGTCTTCTTAAGCTGCCCTTTGAAATTTTCTGTGCAGCTCTTTGATTTCCTCATTTCTTCAACTTGTTTTAGCATCCCTACACTGGAGAGCATGTTTAGAGTCTCTCCTGACATCTATTTTGGTCTTTTCTTTCTTTGCTGTCTTTTAAATGACCTTTGGCTTTCTTCCTATTTGGTGTTATTGATGTCATTCCACAACCCAATGTTCTGAGTTGGGATCGACTTGATGGCCCTTAACAACAACAACAAATCTTTAAGAGAGCAAACTGCCTTATTTTTCTCCAGCAGAGCAGCTGGTGAGTTCATACTGATGTCTCATTAGCAGCTAAGTACTTAACCCCTGCACCACCAGTGTTCCTTTGTAAGTCACCAAATTGATGGTGATTTGCTATAACAGTCATGTGTTGGAAACTAATATAGATCTTGGTAAGTATGGTGCTGCTGTTAAAAAAAAAACCAAAAAAACAAGCAAGCAAACAAAAACTAAAAAGATAGAAGTGTCTTTGGAATTGGTCAATGGACAGAGGCCAAAAGGATTTTTAGGCCCATGACTGAAAAAACGAAATTACCTCGCATAGACTTTTAGCAGAAGTATGGATGTTAAAGACTCTGTCAGTGAGGGTTCAAGAGAAAGGGTAGCACACACTAGAGAAAGTCTTGTTGTTGTTGTTGTTGTTGTTAGGTATCTACTCATAGCAATCCTATGCACAACAGAACAAAACACTGCCTGGTCCTGAGCTAACCTCACAATTGTTCCAGTGACTGGTCCCTCCTGACAATATATCCGAAGTATGAGAGATGAAGTCTGGCCAATCTGGCTTCCAAGGAGCACTCTGGCTGTACTTCTTCCAATACAGATAAGTTTGTTCTTTTGGCAATCTATGGTACTTTCAATATTCTCCTCCAACACCATAGCTCAAAAGCATCAATTCTTCTATGATCTTCCTTATTTACTATCAAACTTTTGCATGCATATGAGGTTATTGAAAATACCATGGCTTGGATCAGGCGTACCTTAGTCCTCAAGCTGAAAGTCTACATCCCTTTAAAAAAATGCCTAAATTGTCATAAGTTGAATTTTGGTAGAAATAGAAGTGTAGAAGTAAATTCTCTGCTGGCTTCGAAAAGGATCACATTAGAAGGTACTGTATAGAGTGGGAGAAAAATGTGGAACAAAACTCAGAATCATTAAAAAAAAAAAAAAAGACCAGGCCTACTGGTTGTACAGAGACTGATGGAACCCTTGAGCCTATGGCCCCTAGTCATCCTTCAGATCTGAAATGGAACTTATCCCCGAGGCTCAATAATAGACATGTCTATAAGCGGAACAATAATATTAACACTAGGGTGTGTCATAAGTTGAATTGTGTTCCCCCAAAACATGTGTCAGCTTGGCTGCGTCATGATTCTCAGTGCTTTGAAAGTTATGTAATAATGTCATTTATCAGCTATGAAATGATTCCCCATGATGGGATCTGATTCCATAAACCAATAAGAGGATTAAAGGTGGGATTGTTGTTGCTGTTAGGTGCCATTCAGTCAGTACCAACTCATAGAGACCTTATGCACAACCTTATGCACAACACTGCCTGGTCCTGGGCTAACCTCACTTTTGTTGCCATACTTGAGCCCACTGATGCTGCCATTTTGCCAGTCCATCTCTCTAAGAGTCCTCCTCTTTTTCTCTGACCCTCCACCTTACCAATATAGCCTTCTCCAGTGACTGGTCCCTCTTGACAATATGTCTCAAAGGGTAAGCTGCAACACCCTTACTCCCATTCACAACTCTGATTCGATGTAAGGGAGTTTCCCAAAGGTGTAGCCTGCAACATTTGTTCTCTTAAAAAGACAAAAGGAGAAAGAAGTGAGAAGAGAAAGAGAAACCTACTACCGCCAAGAAAGGAGAGCCAGAATTGGGTGCATCCTGAGGACCTAGGGTCTCTGCAATGTGAAGCTCCTAGATATAGGGGAAGATTGATGCCAAGATTTGGGAGATCTCTAAGGGATGTTGGGCCTACAGAAGCTGAAAAGAGACAAGGACCTTGTTCCAGAGCTAATAGAAAAAGCCAGCATTCTGAATTTGGACTTCTAGCCTTCTAAACTGTAGAATAAATTTGAAAGTTATGTAATGTTGTCATTTATCAGCTATGAAATGATTCCCCATGATGGGATCTGATTCCATAAACCAATGAGAGGATTAAGGGTGGGATTGTTGTCGTTGAGAATAAATTTGTTTGCCAAAGCTACCCACTGGTAATATTTCTGTTATAACAGCACTAGAGAACTAAGACAGGGAAGTACACACAACTTAGAATAATCAACTATTTGAGATCAAAAGGGCAGCATGTGACCAAAGACAAAATTCAGAGGGTTAGGAAAGAAGGAGGAATGGAAACAGAAAATACAGGGAGGAAGTGGGATAAGTGATGTTACATAGGGGGGATTGTAACCAATGACATGAAACAAAAGGTGAATGAATTGTTGAATAGAAAGTTCATTTGCTCT